ATATATATATATATATATATATATATATATACACACACACACACACACACTTCACCATATTTAGGGCATAAACATCCTTTTCCCGTTATGAACCCTCCTACCTACTTCTTAGAAGATTTGAAAAAAAATTGGATGAGAGGGGGCGAGAGAGGGCGGCAGAACACAAGAAGAGAAGAGAGGATACGAAAGGAGACGAGAGGGGGGTTAGGGGAGGCGAGAAATGGCGGTGGAGAGGGGGAGAAGGCGGGAGGAGGCATGAGGATGCGTATGAGTGATTAGGCGGAAGGTGGCGTGATGAGACGTAGGGAGACGTGAGGAGACGGAATGAGGCAGGAGGAGGCGTGATGAGGAGGGTTGAGGGATGAGGCGTGAGGAGTCATGAGGAGACGATATGAGGCAGTAGAAGGCGGGATAAGGCAAGCATGATGAGGCGTGAGAAGGCGTGAGAAGACGGGATGAGGTAGAAGGCGGGTGGAGGCATGAGGACGCTGGAGGAGGCGTGAGGAAACGTGTGAAAACGTGAGGATGCGGGAGGAAGTATGAGGGGGCGTTGGTGTAGGGAGGCGTTAGAAGGCGTGTGGAGGAGTGATGAGAGGGCATAGGAGGTGTGAGAAGACCAGAGGAGGCGTGAGGAGGCGTGAGGAGACGGGATGAGGCAGAAAGCTCGATAAGGTGGGAGGAGGCTGGAGGAGGCATGAGGAAATGTGTGAAAGCGTGAGGAGGCGGGAGGAGGTATGAGGGGGCGTAGGCGTGAGAAGACGTGAGGAGACATGTGAAGGTGAGAAGAGACGTGAGAGGCGTGCGATGAGGTGAGAGGAGGCGTGAGGACACATGAGGGGACAAAGGAGGTGTGAGGAGGCGTGAGAAGGCGGGAGGAGGGATGAGAGAGCAAAGGAGGTGTGATAAGGCGTGAGAAGCCTTGAGGAGGCGTAAGGAGGTGTGGAGACGTGAGGATGCGTGAGACGGTGTGAGAAGGCGTGAGAATGCGTTCGAAGACGTGAGAAAGCGTGAGGAGACGTGAGGAGACGTGAGAAGGCGTGAGGAGGCGTGGAAAGGCGTAAGAAGGCGTGAGGATGCGTGAGGAGGCGTGAGGAGGCGTGAGGAGGCGTGAGGAGACGTGATAAAGCGTGAAGATGCAGGTGAAGGCATGAGGGGCGTAGTAGGTGTGAGATTGCGGGGGGAAGCAAGATGGGAGGGCGAAGATGTGATAAGACCTAAGAAGCCGTGAGGAAGCGCGAGGAAGCAGGTGGAGGTCGGAGGAGGCGCGTGGTAGCGAGACAAGGAGGAAGGAGTTGGAAGGAGACGAGAGGGGACAAGATCGTCTCACCCCGCCCAGTCCAGCCACGAGGCGCAGGACGTAGACGACGCCCCAGTGCGCGCTGCTGGCGAGCGGCACCAGCGCCGTCAGCATGCCCTGCAGCAGGATGGCGGCGAACACGATGGCCCGCGCGCCCACTGCGTCCGCCAGCATGCCCGCGGGGAAATGCGCTATGAAGTAGCCCACGCCGTACGCCGCCTTCACGTGGCCCTGTACGCTCGCACTCCACTCGTACCGCGGGCCGTACTGCAACACACAAACGACCGTGACAAGGAGAGCGGCGAATGATCCGTCCAACATAAGAAAAACGGTATTAAACAAAAACGTAGGAAAATCTTCAAAAAATAGGAGTGATCATAGAGATAGGAAGAACACTGCGTGTTGTTTGTTTACTTTGTTAAGCAATTTCGCAACAATAAATCATTCATTTAAAAATTGGGTTTGTTAACAGGAAATCCATTGACGAGAAGTCGAAACCAGAGAAGATCAGAAATAACAATAATCCTTACTTGACAAATTTGATGAGTTGTCTAATTCAGCACAAGATTTTATGCGGCATACGTTATATATTCTCTCGGTGAGACGCACAAACGCTAGTGATGTACATTGTCTGGTATGTACACCTATCATCTTGTGATGTACACCTATCATCTTACCTATGCTAGGTACTTCACACGTCTTCAAATATCACCTTGATTTACTTACGAGCATAAACTTTGTTTGCTTTTATCTTAGAATTAACCCTGTGACTCTAGAAAATTGTTTGACTGACTGTTCAGATATTCCAACTGGTAACATCGTGGCACACAACTATTGTAGAAACAAATAACACCTACATGTATTAGAATATTAAACACTAGGAAGCTTTATCCTGTTCTATTTCCGAATTCAACCACATACCTATGTACACAGGCAAACAAAATTAAAAATAAATAAAGTTAGTCACTTTCTACAGTGGATAATGAATTATAAATTTGTATGCAATTCCTCCCCCTGTTGAACTATTATGCAAAAGTAAATAAACTCACAATTAAATTGTAAAATAAAATTATGATCAAGACATTCTAAACAGCCAGTTTACTTTATGCTTTCTTAAAGTATATTGTCATTATGTTTTTAGTTTTAATTATTATCGCGGCTCACTTACGTAACTTTCCAACACACACTATTCACACTTGTGAATATCACTGTATTTATCACCAAATTACCGTTTAATTCTTTATATTATTATAGTATAGTTCTTATGGTATATTATAGTATATTATATAGTATTAATAGTATTAGTAATAGTATTATATAGTATATTATTATAGCATTAGTATATTATAGTTCTTTATATTATTCAGTACAATTTCCCTTTACCAAATGGACTGTTGATAATTAAGAAAATATTTCTTAAAGCAGGCGACATTTTAAACACTGCAGAATTGTCTACCAGGCAATGTTAGTTGTTTTTTCTTCTGATTAATTTTCACCTAGACTTTCAGGGAAGCGATAGACGTGTACTCAATTGTTAACACCGTTTTACATAGAAATATTAAGTGGTATCCCGGTGGTACTTGCATAAGCAATTAGCTCAGCGTCAGCACGCTTCGCAGCAAGAAGAAATAGTATGGAACAAAACAAGGTAGTTTATACTATTGGGCGTAGTCTACGTTGCATGCAATTTCACAAACCAGCC